ACCGTCAGTCCGGCAAGTTATTCAATGCCGATTAATAACGATGTTTATACCCAACTCGGCCACTGCTGTATCACACAAAAAATATTTTAAAATCGATACGTTTTTGTAATTTTTATGTGAAATAGTTTAAAAAATAGTAACTTTTTAATCAAAAATCTATTTATTTTATTTAGTTACATCGCTTATTACCAATATAAAAAAAATCTGCAGCAAAATGGCTATTATAAATAACCGAGCTATTATATGAGAGAACATTTTATTGGAAAATGGAAATAGAAATTATGTACAAATGTGTAAAACAAATGTAGTTTTAAAAAAATGTATGACAGTATAACAATTTTACATATTCTTTACTAAATAAAATAAACAACCTACTAATTCACTTTTATTAACGTATGTAAAACACTATAGGTAGATGGTATCTATATTGTTGATAATCTATAATATTATATTATTACGAATAAGTACTTACGTTACACGATTATCAACATATAAGTGGTATTTGTTTTTATTTTTGATACTGTCATATTAACTTACCTGAAACAAAAATTTAACAGTTTTATTGAATATCTATACTATTCACTCACGTTAAATATTTTATTAAATAAATTATATAATTTAATAACTTATAACGAACAAATTAGATTAATAATTGATAACAATAATATAAAGTATGATGAATTCAATATAATAATATATATACTTATCCTGTCATTGTTAATAATAAATTTACTAATCTAACATTTATAGCTATTATACACGTACATAACTTAATTCAATAATTCAATTAACTTGGGTCATATTTTCTTTTTAAGTTAACATTTTACACTTAAATCGTAATGTCTACAAAAAAAAATTAGCTAAGTGATACATCACATTTTAAATGATGGTCTGTTAATTATGTCCTTTTATGTACTTCTGAAAAAAAAACCGTAAGGCGTTAGTTTATAAATAAATATAAAGGTAAATAAAATAAATAACGGACGTAGATATATTCAGTACCGCAGGTGTATGTAAGTAGTATACATGCAGCGAGTACTCCACAAAATATAATCAAACTTCGATAGCGATAATTGTTTTCGTATTTACATTTCTAGCGATGAACAATGTAGGTAAGTATCTAGTATATACACACCTAGTTGCTTCATGTGTCCTATTTTCTTATTTTGTAGCTATAGATTATAATATAGTTCTTATTTAAACGGCATACATTAAAAATTTATAACATTATATAGTCACTAGTCCTTTGGAAATCATGGCTGAGTTCCTTTTCCTACTATATACCTACACTTACCCACTGAGCCCACGTAATAGCACCAAACCGTAAAAATAAAAACCAATAAATCAATCAGATAAGAATACCTGCAATACGATCAGAGAACTGTCCTCGATATGCATATTGTATTTATCCACCGGATCGACGAGATAGGTAGGTAAATATATTAAAACGGTATCCGAGCTTTCGAACTCTGATGCATGGGGTTGGGTCGTAGAGATTCTTGCGAATTCGATAAAGCACGATCGGTGCATATACACACCGGGTGTAGTAGGGCAACAGCACACGTCAAACTGCACCGTTGTAGCATTGTCGCATAGCAGTATTATTATTTCGTATTCGTATCGCGACTTTATAAATTTAAATTATTTCGTGCGTATGTATTGCAGCGATGAAACGTGAACATGAATAACTTCACAAATAAATTCCGCGTGGATATGACCACTACCTACTTTGGCCGGGGTGGGAAGAAAGGGAAAAAAAGGTTTTATATATATATATATATTTATTTTTTTTCGTGTACCTATAAAACGAGGTCTGCAGAAAAACCTATGAAAATGTCGAAAAGGGTGACGACGACGGCATTTGTACGGTCGCAAAATGTACTTTTAAGCCGCGCGTAACGGTGCGCAGTAATGTACACGCGTGCTCATGACACGCATACTACAAATCGCATTTCAATTCCGACGAAATTATTCCGACAACAAATAATACATGGTAGGTAGGTAAAATATTATATACTTATTTCCCATATTGTGGAGGCGTTGAATTGGTCCCCGGATATCACCATATCCGGACATTAGACAAAAAAAAAACCCGACAAATTGCTTAAAATCAAGTATAGGTCTATTATAAAATCTATAATAGGTGTAAAAAAGGCTGATATTCTGATATATAGGTGTGCCACGCTGTTTTAGGAGGGAAGTTAGAAGTGAGGATACATATAGAGAGTAATTTAATTTATATTCGTAATACGCAACGATAAGCCATTACTAACAAAAACGATTCTGAGCAAAGTATTATTAGTCGTATTTTTCCCTTGTTACTAAGATAATCCAAAAATCAACGAAAATGACACAAAAAATGTCCAGTTTTTCCATCTTATAGATATATACACAAACCGGACTTCATCCGTCTGTCTAAAACGCTTTATTATTAATTGACATTTATAATAATACACAAGAACCCGAAACAACTAGGCATAAGAGGAAAATTAAAAAATGGCCTCATCAATGTAACAACTTGGTAGATTAAAAATGCTACAAGAATGTTCTTAAAGTTTATAGTTTTCAGACACACAAAATTTAAAAAATATATATATAGTAAAATCTATACTTTCCTCGTTTCATTCAGAATCAAAAATATAAAAATAATTCTAAATGCGTTCCGTTTAGTACGTTGAATACATTACAAATATCATACAAGTATACAACAACGTTTCTCTATAACTTCATTTTAACATAATATCACATCATCATCCAGGGCCCAGGTTTGTATGCAATTGCATATTTGTATTAATTTATATAATTTACAAATTAGTACAAATAATAATAATAACAATTGACTCAAAATAAAGTTAGCTGTATGTACCCAATGATAATGTCAATAACGAAGAGCTAGAAAAAAAAACTTAAAAAACTAATAGCATGATCTTTTTTTATTATTATTCATCTTTACGTATTTTAATGATAAATGCAAATATTTGCATGCGTATTTCGTGTAAGTTTTTGGTTATAAATCCGGGCCCTACTGCTCCTATCATTCATCTACATCTATTAAAATCCGTTTAATATAATGCGGGCACGTACATACACGTTTTTTTTGTTTCTTTAAACGTTCTCCATCACGACTTTATCATTACTAATAATAATTTGCATGCCTATAATATGAGTAGGTATACTCATAGTATGCATATCGGAAGGCGCTTGAAGCCTTTAAAAAAATATACATACATGTACAAGAACCGTCGTCACATGCAAATTTTTTAAACGGCCCGTAAATTATAAAAAAAAAAAAACAATACAATCGATGTTTATTTGGACTGCACGATGTTTCCTTTGCCGGTTTCTACACTGCCGCTGGCTACTCACTGCAGTATACTACACTATATACAACTTTAATACAATCGACAACCATGAATTATTGAAAACAGTCATAGTTACCTCTATAGGTATGTAGATATCTCTCTATAATGTGTTACAGTACCAAACGTTCTCGTAGATATAAATGAAATTCCAAAACATACCTACCTACTTTAGAACTGCACAACGAAAACGGTAAATGTAATACAGCACACATTTTAAACCTCGAAATTGTCCAATATTTTATTGATATACACAATAACGTACCAACAGTAAAACCTATACCTGTATGACAAATATTATTATCGGACAAAAGAAAATATTTCATTTGTTTTCTTCTACATAATGTAAAACTTAAAATGGTTTATTATTATCAGAATCAATATAGTGCATTAATTCCGGATTCCAGAAAGGAATTCCAGTATCGCAATATAATTATTTCGATCCAACAGCCTGGCAGCCTGGGCCACCGGTTCAAAACTGATATTTGAACGCGAATCATCTGCACATTGCATCAAGTCCAAATTTGTAGTACTACTGCGTCAGTGTAAAATTCGAGTAAATCTGACCATGGTACGAATATCGATATGGTTAATGTCAATCTAGCCTTCATATGGTACCATGATAATTATTATAATTCATTAATATCTAGTTACAAACATTTATTTTAAGTAAACGATAGTTATTAATTTACTGCTGATAAATGTATTGTATATTATATAATGTACACTGCAAAAAATGGCCGGGAATTATTCACAACTACAATATTAAAACTATTTAAAACAATAATTATTCGTTTAACAAGCCCGTAACCGCACAAAATAAGTACCTATTTAAAGGTTTTTAAACCTCATAAAAACATGGTGAAATCATTTTTTTGAACCCTATATTTTTTTTTTTGATAATCGAATAAAAATCGACAAACGGTAAAATAAATTCACAAGAAATATGTTTTCCGTTTTAACTTTCATAATATTACAAATGTATAGTTAACATATAATATATATATTATTATGATCTAGTATTAATAAAGACTTCTAGCTGCTTTAGTTTCACATATTATACCACACAACAATATGCGGGTGTTTATGTAGCGTCTAGTTAATTTGATTGTTTTTTTTTTTTTTTTCAAACACATTTCATGAAAAATTATTTTTATTCTACATTATTGACGTGTTACAGACGTTACAGCGGGAAGAAATATAAAAAAAAAAAAAACTAGAGTCAAGTTTTTCAATAAACTTTGAAAATAATTTGTTTGTTGTAAACAAAAGAAAAAAAAGATGGAAGTTTTAAACCACGGTTTACATATATTTTTTTTTATTATTTAACTCGATTAAAATAGTATTATTGTCAATCATTTTTAAAGACAGTAAGTATATATAGTCAATTTGCGCAGACCATAATAATAAATTTAGCCCGAAAGCTGAATTTAAGTGCGCTTAGTTATAATATGCATTTTTAAATAATAAATGTTTTTTTTATAAACTTTATAAAACTCATAACAGTTTAGGTGGTGTATTACATTAAATTACAGCACTAAGTACCGTTTGTCCGTGGGGGAAAAATTGAATATTTAAACATTTTCGGGCGCATCTGCGCTCCTGTACTTACGCTGTCAAATATCTCAATTATACAATTTCTTTTACTAAATATAGGCAGATAATATTATTTAAGAATATATTTCCCAATTGTTTATCATTGTTGGTTGAAGTATAAATAATATAAGTATAGTAACTAATACATATATTATTTTCGGTGATTCATCATTCGACATTCATATATATAGATATGTATAAAAGATACCAAATATGGTCGGGGCTTATAATGTAGAAAAAAGTAGTTGTCAGTTCAGTCACGGACAAGTGAGTTATCCGTGTGATGTCAAAAGAGGAAAGGATGAAACTAAGAAAAGAAAAAAATAAAAAAATTGTAGCTACCTATAAGTATTATACGCGTACTTCTATAAATACATCGGTAAACTTGCATAATATATTGTTTGGACAATATTATTGTATGGAACCTATCTCGAAGCAGTAAGCAAAATAATAACACGGCGAACGTGACTATATCTTTAAAAAAATATTATTCAACGTGTATATTTTAGGCGCATAAAAATAACGACTATTGGTCTTTTGATTTTTTTTTTTTTTTCATTCGGGAATATATTAAAATACCAACCAATATAATATTTAGTGCCTAATAATAATCACAAATATATAAACTTCAAGTTCCCATATCTATATATGTGTACTTAAACGTACATTTAAAGACCATTCATCATATATAATAAAATAAAATAAAACACATATTACATACTCGCGTACTAAGAGATAGCGTGTGTCTTAAAATGTAAAATATAATTTTGACTATTACTTATTATCGAAAATTCCAAACTTCGCATAGTTTAAACAAAATTCCTATGTGAAAAAAGCGTTTTGATCGTTTTCGTAGTATGTAATAACTATACAACATTAATATTTACACTCAATTTTTTTTTTTTTTTTTTAAATATTTCCACAATTTTTTAGTCAGTGCTAACAATAAGGTTATTGAAACAAACTCGAATAAGCAATGATAAAAAGTGCGTATCGACTTTATATTTTCTTTTATGTCGGATTTAAAACGGAGAAAAGTAATAATAAAGGGTCTCAGCTCGATATTAATAGACATTATAATGTATCGTAAATAAAACCAAATGTATCGAAAATAATCCTGTTGCCTTATTGTCGGGCATATTCACTTTATTACATCCCTTACCACATCCCCGACACTCCACACCACAACATACGTTGTCGTAATAATAAAAGAAATTTCGTACATAGGTAATATTAATTTATGTATATTTTATTTTATTTATATATAAATATCATTCAACTAGGTATTAAAATTATAAAAAAACATAACAAAAATTGTAATTTTAGTAATCTAAATTCAAATTTAAATGTTCAATATACATAAACTAGGTAATTTACCCATACAAAAAAGTAATGAGTCATACTAACGAGTAGGAGCAACTACTTATGACACACTGATAAAATATGAAATCTATCAACAAGGCTAAATAATAACTATTAAAGTTGTATCGTATAAAACCGAAATTTAATGATTATAACGTCAAGTTACACGTATACTTCTATAATATAAATATATTTATAGGTATAGTATTATTGTTTTCGTTGATATTGATAATTTCATTATACTAATACAAGAATGAAACTATATTCTAAGCCAATACCAACGTAACATGAAAAAACAAAACAAAAAACAGATACACAAAAATAACTTAATAATCATAAACCTATTAAATAAATACATCTGGTTTTCGAGACAAATAAATCGTGTTTGCTTTAATTTAGTTGACTCTCTTCTATAATTTGATTCATGTTCGACAAAATGATTTTGCTTTGTCTCTCGTAGTACGTATATAGACGTTTCTACATATTTAAAAAAGTTTTTACTTTTTTTTTTTTATAGATATTATGATACTATATATACATTTAATGGACATAAGCAAAATATTTTTCTGTTACACATTTTTATATAACAAATGTAATACAATGTAATATTATTTACTGCGTAGCACCAAACAAAATACAATTTTTAAACCATTAAGGATATACAACTGAGGCGGCGAAATATACCATAACTTTTACTTAAATTTGCCTAACACAAGAATAATTGTATTACGTGTACACTTAGTATTATTACGCATATATAGACAGGTCTGTATATTATAGACTGTGTCCAATAATTGTATCGGTAATATATTTTAGTTTCGGTAATAATTTGTCTAACATCACGGGAAATTAAAGGTGGGTAACGCAGGTCCCGGTGTAATAAAACTACGAGTTTAGTAAAATAAATGGTCTTGACTCCCAATTATATTATATCAGCAGTACCCAGCAATATCAATCGATAAAACAAGACCAATGGACATTATATGAACTGCAACTGAAAAGAACTAGCGAATAAATCAGGTCCTTAATCGTATAAAAAACCAATTTTGGCGTAGTATGTAATATAATATAGTATAATAATAAAAGGGTAGTCTTTTTTATTCCTATATACGTATATATAGTACTCTTACAAAATGTTTTATTTTTTGTTTTCATTGCAAATTTAATCGCACATAAGTTAGTTGAGTGGTACTTTTAGAATCAGAAAATGTATCGGTTTTGCGATGAGTTTTTTTTCGTTAAGTATATTGGAATGAATGTTTCTGAAGTCTCGCCTATACGTGTTATCTAACATAATATATTACGAATAATAGTAATAAATCGAACACAAAAAGCAATATATTACATGAAAGAAATTAATTTTGACAATTATTATTATGTACATGCATATAGTTTAAAACAAACAGATGAAAAGTTATTTTAAAAAAATAAATAAATACAAATTGGTGACCTTTTTAACAACGATTATTTTAAGAAAAAATAATTTAAATGAATATTTTTTTTTGTATTTTACGAAGTTTTACAAAGTGGTCAAAATTTTAACTAATTTGTACATTATTTATTAGTTATTTAAAGATATAACTTAGACTATCGACCTGTCTATTTATAGTTAATAATATATATATTAAACTATGTGCAGTAATTTGTCTATAGATTTGAATTTTTAGCTTTAGAGTTTTGGCATACATTTTTCGATAGTTTTGGTAATCTAACCTAACCTCAGAGATAAAATAAGCATTCTTTATTTTTAAATATATACACTTATGAATTTATTGTGTTGTACATTACAAAAACAGAATTATACCATCACAATATCTATATATACGAGTATATCGATACAATTTAATGAAACAGTAAAATATAAAAATAAAAATAAAAATGTTTTAAATTTCTCATTTGAATAATGTGTTTTATAAATAAATAAAACTATAAATTCATGAATTCGCAGACTAAACTCTCGAATAAAATAGTTTACTACCAATATAGCAAGAGACACAACTTTGAAAATAATAACTTCTCTATATTATCGTTTCACTGCCATATAATTATAAACTCAAGCGACTTTTTAACGATAAATCCTATCGAGCACTGCGTGCAGTTGTACAACACAATCACACGACCCGTGTGCTCTCTTATATTTTTTAAGTCATATTATAATCGTACACAGACGACTAACTTTTACTTGTCATTATTTAAATGAGGTACGATAATTTTTGAGTGCAGAAAACCGGCGAAATACCTGCAACTGGCTGGCCTTACAATGCAATAATATTATTATTATTTGCCGTGGTTACGATAAAATTATAGTCGGTCGTTTTAAAACGCCATTGATGAAAGTTTTTCGGTTGACACATGATACAGACGATAGACACATCATGTAATGCAATCCTTTTCAGCACGCGCCCAAGATAAAATGACAATAGAACTGTAAGAACTTGTATATATGCTGCTGTACGGAGATGTCAGCGAACATCCTCTCACATCCTCGAAAACGTCATTATTCCGATTACACTGTACACGTAAAAGACGATGTGCATAAAAGACCGTAAAATGTCTTTATTGTCTGATTCGATATTTTATAACATATACAAGTGTACGGAATTAATTGCATATATTATTATATTATTATAATATTATGCATGAACAAATTTTAACTATTCCTAAACTGCGAATCGGTATAATATATACGTTATAATTATAGCGTAATAATAAAATAATTTGGTTCAGAACGACGACGCAGTCTGTGTAATGATAATAAAAATATATAGGCGTGAACCCGTATAGTCGCAATAATACAACTTTTGACCCTGTCGCGTTTACCGAATTAGTCAACGCCTCGACCACTCGACTACCCACATCTGACCAATCCTATAAAACTGCTCCTAGTACCACACGAAAAAAAAAATATATGATTAATTTTAAGTAAGATTTTGGTGAGTCAGAAAATGTGTCACTAAATATTGTTTACAAAAACAAATTGTATATTTTCTGGAATAAACTGACAAAAAAATAAAACGCACTAAAAATATATATGTATATGTATTATATAAACTAAATAAGTATACCGCACTAGTAAAATTTAAAATAAATATTGGGTGTAACGAGAACATATTATAATATTTATCCAATGATTTTATAGTCAATATAATGACTATGAGTGAAGCAAGAAATGTATTAGTATTTCTATTTTTCTTTTTGAGTGTGTGCCTGTAAACAATTTTCCATCAGGAATCTTGCTCCGGCCAAAAACTTTATAGACATTTTCTAGTAACTTTTTTTAATCTGGTTTGCTATATTAGAAAGGTAATTTGTTTTAATTTGCCTTAAATGTAAAAAACAACTGACAATTTTGTTAAATTCTGGATTGGATTTGGTTAGAAGCGACTTAGAATTTTTTTTATGGGGGAGAGTCTATCATTTTTATTTTAGTTGTTCTCTAAAAATTATAATTATAGTTAAATTCATAACCAATAGCTTACTACTGTTAGCTTACATATTACTGCTAATAATACCAATATTAGTCATAATATAGTTATACACACAGCATCACATACTTATACACATATTTACAGAAGGGTCTACTACATTTATGGATGAAGGGGGGGAGCTGGACCCAAAATACCCATTTGGGTACACTCATAGATTAAATTAGGTTATCGATATTTATTTATTTTATTTCATATATACATATGAGTACTGGGGTCCACTAAGAAGACTCGTGTATGAGCCCAGAAATTCTAATATCTATATATCTATTTACATAAAAATAACACACACGTGATACAAATTGAAACTCTAAAAAATATACAGGTATGCGATAAACTAAATTAACTAATACTAATTACATTTAATTAAAGTAATATTATTATCATATAATTAATTCGCTACGTAACTCCAATAGCTTTGCAAAATGCCTTTTTAAAATAAATAAATTGGAAGGTTTATTATATAGGATGATATTTTGTCACATAATTGATAACGATTGTCACAGGTATGATCGATCAATTTGCGAAATCATATTTTTTTTCCAATTTAAATAAGCAAATGTATTTGAAACATAACATTCAATATATATAAATATATATTTAGGATATAGC